AACGATCAGAAATAAAAGAAGACGAGAAAACAATTACCCAGCTCTTCCAAAGGACAGAAACGAGTTAAACTTACCGATAACACACAATAACTAAAAAAGGGAGACCAATTTTTACAGTATGACTCTGCAAATAACGACAGTGATGCAGGGGAAAGGTTCCTAATATTTGCTACCAATGAAAATGTACGCATATTGTCAAATGCATCGTATTGGTATATGGATGGTACATTCAAAACTGTGCCTAACATATTTTACCAACTCTATGTAATTCATGGTCAAGTAAACAAGTTAGTGGTACCGCTAATTTATATTTTAATGCTCAATAAAGCAGAAAGCACTTAGAGTATTTTCCGAAATAAGGAAACTATTAAATGGAAATTTAAGAGCAACGGCAATAATGACATTACGAGATAGCTGTACTGAATTCCCTAAAATTGATTTTCCCTTCTACGAAGCATTACGGCTGCTTCTTTCATTTTAGGCAATGCTTCTATATAGACAAATTAAAAAAAGTGGATTAAAAAAAAAATACGATAGCGATACTGATTTTTCGTTTAACGCTAAACTTTTGCAATCCATTACATTTGTTCCCGAAAATTTGATTATACATGCTTTTAATGTCATTGTGGAACATAATATGATGTGCGCGGAATTTCAAAATATAGTTAGCTATATTGAAGATGTGTGGATAGGAACAATGGAAAGAAGAGTTAAAAAAAAACCTACATGTCCACATAGGAGTTGTTATTATAGTATCAAGAATAATACATCCATTACAAACAACAAATTTTGTTAGGAACAGACTTTAAGTGAACTCAAATTTAGTTTTTAAAGATTTTATAATTGACATTGTTTAAATAGTATTGGCACCGGAGTGCTGAAACCCGTTCGCCTTTGTAGCCTACAAATACGCTACAAAAGCTCATTGATTTAGACACCCATACAAATTTTATGTTATGTGAGGCTTTACTTTTCAATTTTAGCTGTGTCCAGGCCGTTGGCGTCTATGCCGGTAGGCGTAGCCAGGTATGGGTTAAAAATTTTTGGTGGCGGCGAAGCCGCCATCCTACGAGAAATCGTTGCTTCGTTTTCTTCTTGTATATTTTTTTGTTTTTTAATGCCAAAACACTTCAAATGCGTCATTTGAATGACATTATGTCTATTAACGGCATTTCAGTACACGACCGTTTAACGGCAGTTTAAGTACAGCCATTGTTTCATAGAATGCAGATAAGCTTGCTTACTGATTCCAGCAATAAGAGAGGCCTCAGGCACTGGTGCCTAAATCAATGAGCTTTTGTAGCGTACTTGTAGGTTACAAAGGCGAACAGATTTCAGCACTCCGGTGCCGTCATATAGGAGGATGTGTAAATATGCCGACGGCCCTACGTGTTCTCTAGAAGACATTCTGAAACAGACTGGCGCCAAAACTTAAACCGCTAAATTTGCCATGTTGCCGGTTGTCGTGTATGTACGACACTGTCGAAATTGTACGACATTCGTCTGTCTGCGAAGCACAAGTTGTCGAAACGGTACGACGGCCGTCTGTGGGCCAAATCAAAATTTTAGGTGTGTCGTGTCTGAGATGGCACGCGTCGAGAAGGGAAATGAGCTACTGTTGGCTATAGACGACAGTCGTTTCGTCAGCCAAAAAAGTTGGTGCCGAATATGTACGACAGACGTACTGAGAGGGTTAACAATATCGTTTAAATAAATACTGCTGTTTCTCATCTAAGTCAGCACTGCGTGCAACAGCAAAATCTAGTAAATGAAAAATAAAAAAATTTTTGGAAATAAAAAATGCTAAATTTTAAAAAAAAAAATTACAAAAATTTTTTGACATACTAATGTTAAGCTATAAGTATGACATGCGATTGGCGAATAGTGAAAGTATTGAATGGACAAATTTATTTTTGTCAAAAATTTTTTTTTCCAAAAATGTTTGTTTTGACACATACCAATGTTAATAGTATATCTAAGTATGACATGCGCTTGAAAGTATTGAATGAACAAAATTTTTTTTTATAAAAATTTTTTGGCAATTTTTTTTTACAAAAATTTTTGACAATTTTTTTTTTATAAAAATCTTTCTTACAAAATTTTTTTTTATAAATTTTTTTTGCAATTTTTTTTACTAATTTTTTTTACCATTTTTTTTACGAAACATTTTTTTTTTTCAAAATATTTTTTTACAAAAATTTTGAAAATTTTTTTTTGATACATACCTATGTTAATAATATATCTATGTATGACATGCGCTTAGCAAGCAGTCATTTGGATGTACCATAAAAAGCGTCCAAGAATAAATAAGTTTCATATCGAGTTTGGATAATAATAATAATAATAATAATAATACTCTCCCTAATTCACCCCCTTACGAGTGAATTTTAACCAAAAGCTGAGCTTGTGCGGGGAAAGGGACGGCTATTATTATTATTTGCCGTGGCGCTCCGGGGCGACTTAAAGATGATTGATGGTGCCATTTGACTTACAGGTGAGGAAAACCTCACCCACCATAGGTCTACATACATTAGCTAATATTACCATGATAAAAAATACGACGACGATAGGGGACCATAAAAAAATTTTTGAAGGTCTGTCAAAAATAACCCCATGAGCGGGGATATTTTGGAATTGGCAAAAATAACACAAAATATGAAGTTAAACAGCTCAAAGGGCCTTTTTAGATATAGAGAAAATATATCTACCTAGTATTTTTTCATTTAGGGATGAAAAAACTACTAAAAAACACAAAATATTAGTTTCATTGATTTTATTTAAAAAAAACCACAACATTTAAGAAACATAAGTACAAGTTTTAAAAAACAACGTAAACTTAAATTTGGTTTCTCCAGCTTTATTATATAATTCGGCACTCAACCAGAAAGTACCTGCGTAGTAAATAGGATATTATTGGCAATTATTAAATTCTCATTAAATTTAAAAAATATTCTTCCTGTGCCATTTATTTTTGGTCTCTGGAGTATTTTTTTTATATGTTTTTCAAGAACATCGTCTATATATTTTACTTCTGGTGTTAGGAATCGTTCTGTCTTTGAGAATTATTAAAAAAAAATCTACCGTTTAGGAGCACTATGAATTGGTTTTTGAAATTGAAACTACTTTCTCTACTAAGTAGCATGGTACATTTTTTCTTTTATATTCTACCAATACCCAGTCATTTACAATCGGTTTCTTAAGCTTAATCGAAGAATTTGCAGGTGGCACGTTTTCTTTGAAGTGTATCAATAGCATATCATCATCACTGCTACTGCTATTTGGTGATTGATCCCAGTATTTCGAGAATGTTGACAAGTCATCGAAACTCTTCATCGGGTTCATATGGTGCATCAAATTCGTCAGAAGAAGACGATGATAATATATCGCTGATTTCTTTTTTTAAGTTTAAATTTTTGTAACAACTGTTTTTTTTTGGAATCGCACTGGTTGAAACAAAAACATCACTCTTTCCAGGCTCTACTTAAACTCTCTTTCGTATCTGTTTTTGTTGTGATGGTGCTTCTGTATTATGACGCATCGCTTTCAAAATGTCAACAACAGCAGGAGAAATAACATTATGTGTACTTTCGGCGTTTTTCTGCTTCAGGTTCAGGGGGATGTAGACCAGTTTCACGAAACCCGAGATGAGATTTTCGGAGGATTTACCATTTTCATCCAATTTTTGACGAAGTTTATTTAGTAGCTGCAGAAATACATCTTTTGATAACGTCGACATTTTACACCCTCCTGTTTTCTTCTATTCGATAAGTATCGCTCTCCGATACTTCTTTAGGGGAGCGTAGAATGCCACATCAAGGGGTTGCATCAGATAAGTTGAGTTAGGGGGTAGGCAGATAAAAGATATGTTCATTTCTTGGCATGTTTGTAATACTTTCTGTGAAAAATGTGAGAATAGGTTGTCGCCAACTAAAATTTCCAATAAAAAAATGGGGATTATTATTAAAATAGCAAAATCTTGAGTCCCTAGATTATAAACAAACCTTAGCTCCATCCTTGTTTCTTAAATAAATGACAACAATGCTATAAAACCAATCCTCAAAGCAGACGACATCAAACCAGCCATTTCAAGACCGATTGTAACGCGCTCCTGCAGGACCACCGTGAGTCCAACTATTCCACATAATCTGCCTTGTAGATTACATATTCAGGCAAAAGTTCCAGTATACATTATGCTTATGGCAGTCTTCGTGGAGTTGACTACCCTTTGAGGGTACTTGGTGTCTCTCTTGAATATACATTTTTTTGGTCCTGGATTGTTAGTCAGGTTGGTTTCGTCGAAATTTATTATTAGAGACGGGTCTATGGTATTAAACAAATCTCGAGCATTGTCAAAGAAAATGTCCAAATTTTGCTTATTTACCATCGCACGTTTGGTAAAGATATTCGCAGAAAATCGATTCGATATTGAGTTTTTTTTCTCTTCAAAAAGTTTGCAGCCCAATCTCGACCGGGTAGATTATTATTAAGCCTCCGTTCATTGCCTTTTCTGTCAAGATAAGACTTGATTAATATCCTCAAGTCAGTAATGTCAAACGGAAAGCCCAAAGAAGCAACTACGTTTAGATGTTCAACCAGCACTTTTTCTTCGTCGTTTGTTAAAATGCAAGGCCTTCCTGCTACAGAAAAAGTGCTTTTTGTCTTAGCTCGTAAAGCTAGGATAGACCTTGGCACCCTATATTTTTTAGAAGCCTTATGAAGGCTCAGACCATTATACTGAATATAATGTATGGTGTTTTGAAAAGCTTTTTCATTATCGTTTCTGTAAGGGATATAGTTTTTACCATTTCGTGAATGGGTCAAAGTTTTTTACGTAAGTGCGGACCATTTTTATTTTAGGACCAGAAGAGATTTTTAGCTAAAGAAGCAAATTTTTTGGTTATTTTAGAAAAGGGGGCTATTTTGGAAACGCGGAGCTATTTTGGAAGAAAAAAAATGTCTCTTCCAAAATTGCCCCTCCCGCTCACCGAAAAACCTCATAGTTATTTTAAATATATATTATTTCTAAGTAGCAACACACACACAAAGTTTTTTGTAAAGCCATAGCTGCATTCATTCATTTTTACTAGTGTGCAATCTTGCAAAAAAAAACGCATGTGGTTTTGCCGGCACCTAGAGTACTAAACTTACCTCTACCAACCCGCAACAAGTACTGACTTGCTTTTCGCGGTCTTCTCTGAGAACCTTCCAACGTTCGTTGGCATCGCACGGCTATGATTACACATCGTTGCCAATTTGAATAAGAAAAATTACCCTGCATTTCTAAAATAATCCCGCTAAAATATGACATGGGATTGCTTAGCGAGCAGTGGAATTAGACTTCGTAACCACGTCTTCATAGACCAAGAACAATTTCTAGTTACGCCTATGGTACGATATCAAACCACTGTTAAAATCAGCAAAAAAGATGTTTACCTACCGACTCGGATCATATCTATGTGATTCATATCAATTATTACGTTTTTCAGTGCGAAATCGAACACATGTTAAAATTATTTGTGGTTTATAATTATAATTTGTAATAAAATTTAGTGGTTTATTAAAATGCCGAAGAGATCAAAAATTTCCAATTATGGAAAAATTTGGACTTAATTCAACGCATGATTCAGAACTCATCATCCTCGAGCTCTGCAAGTAGGTTATTTTATTTTATTTCAGACAAAATTTGATAAGGGTCCTTGTTTATGCAAAGATTATCGTGCAATTTATTTATCCATGTTTATGCATGGCCTTCACAAATAATTTTGTTTATGCAAAGTGTCATAAATAATATAGTATATTACATTACGAGTGTGGAAAGTTACATTTTTTACACGAGTGAGAAGTATTGTCGCACGAGGCACAAGCCGAGTGCGACTATCACACGAGTGTAGAAAATCACTTTTCACACAAGTGATGTACAATATTTTTCCTACGACCACAAAATAATTTCATCAAAAAATGTAAAACCAGATTATTATTATTATTGATAGAATATATAATAAAGACACAGATGACGAGTGATTTATTTTATTTAACAGGTGCATGTATAATTTACAACAAAACGACACATGAACAACAACGTGATATAACAAATGACATAAGTATGACAAAACAATAATACCAACTTAAACCTAAGAACACAAAGCAATACTGATTTAATTGTTGATTTTCAACATCCCTTCGCAATTGAAACAAAGTAAACACTCATATAATTTCCCTTAAACCTAGACCATTTCTATGTTTTGAAAACAATTCATATTTTAAATTCTTTGTTAAAATATCAGCAGTTTGCTCTTTAGTATTAATATACTCTACTGACAGTGTTTTATTAAGCACTAAATCTCTGACAAAATTAAATTTAACATCAACATGTTTGAGACGTTTATGCTCCCATTTATGAGTTAATTTAATACATGATTGATTGTCTTCATATATAGTAAAAATTGTTTTTGCAAAGCCAAAATCTTTCAACAAATTCGATATCCAAATTCCTTCTCTAGCTGCTTCAGCAAGAGCAACATATTCCGATTCTGTTGGAGATCGAAACTGTTGATTGCTTTTTGGTGCTCCAACAGACAGTTCCCCCAAAAACTTTAAACAAAAAACCTGTTGTAGATTTTCTATCAGTTTCATCCCCTGCCCAATCTGAATCAGCATATCCTTCTAACATGATGGAAGCTGTGTTATCAAAAATAATTCAAAATTAATTGTAAGTTTTATGTATCTTAAAATACCTTCCAATAAATTCCACAACTCGTCAGTTGGATTATTTTGGTTTCTACTACAATAGTTAACAGATGCACTTAGATCAGGACGTGTAACTAAAGTTGCATACATTAAAACAACCTACCAATTCACGAATGGGTTTTTTGTTTCACAGTTAGCTTCGTTTAAAACAGAGTTCATGGGAATTTTTGACCCATTGCAGTCTTGCATTCTAAATTTAATAAAGACATTTTTAAGATAATCTTTTTGATTTAAATAAATCCCTTCTGAAGTTTTTTTTATATTAATTCCTAAAAATGTATTTAAATTTCCAAGATCTTGCATTTCAAATTTTTTTGCTAGTTTTTGTTTTAAATTTTTTATCTCAGTTTCACTGTTACTGGCAATAATAATATCGTCCACATAAAGCAATAAATAAATTTCTATATTATTATTATGTTTAAAATACAGACAAGGATCATTCTGTGACCTAATTAATCCTATTCCAAAAATAAAGTTATTAAATTCCCTGTTCCAACAATAGGGGGCTTGTTTTAAACCATACAGAGCTTTGTTTAATTTGCATACAAACCTTTTATCCTGATTTAATCCCTCAGGTTGACTCATATAAATATTTTCATTAAGAGTACCTTGAAGAAAGGCTGACTTGACATCCATTTGCTGTACTTGAAGATTTTTATGATTTATTATCGCTAATAAGGTTCTTAATGTTGTAAGCCTAGCCATGTTTCCTCGTAGTCCAGTCCTTCTTTTTGCATAAATCCACGTGCTACCAAGCGAGCCTTATATTTTTGAATATTTCCTGCTTGATCTTTTTTTACACGAAATACCCATTTGCTATCTATTAATGAAATATTTTCTGGTTTATCTACTAGTGACCATGTTTTATTTCTTTCTAAGGATGTCATTTCCTCAGAAACAGCTTCTTTCCAAAATGTATAATCACTTCTTTGTTTTGCTTCTTCTAAACTTTTTGGGATACCATCAACAAATGATTCAGCACTCATTGCCAAGTGTTCAGGATCCATTTCATACTCTTCAAATCTCACAGGATGCTTCTTTACTCTAGTGCTTCTCCTTAATTCATTTTATTCTGCTGTGTGTCTTTCTTCTCTTTGGAGAGAATTTGGTTCCAAATGTTCTTATTCAATTTGTTCTTCATAAAGTTCTGGTTCCAAGTTTTCTTGTTCAGTTGATTCTTCATAAAGTTCTGGCTCTAAGTTTTCTTGTTTATTATGGTCCCTGGTTTCTTCATTTTCTTCAAGTACAGTAAATATATTTAATGTCAAGTCCTGGATGGTTTTATTCTCAAAAAATACAACATCTCTTGCATTAATTATTTTATAATTTTTTGGATTCCATAATCTGTATCCATTATGAGTATAACCTATCATTATCATTGCCTCTGCTCTAGAATCAAATTTACAATTTACTTTTTCTTTTGGTATTCTAACAAAGGCCAAACAGCCAAAAACTTTTAAACGCTCTAAACTAGGTTTTTGATCAAGAAACATTTCAGCTGGTGTCATATTATTTAAAGCCACTGTAGGACTCCTGTTTAATAAGTATGTTGCACAAAGTATTGCCTCACCCCAAAATTCTTTATTCAATTTAGACTGCAAAATCATAGCTCTTGACTTATCTAAAAGAGTACGATTAACCCTCTCTGCAATACCATTTAACTGAGGTGTATATGGTATTGTGTTTCGAATTTGAATACCTTTGGTTGTGCAAAAACTTACAAAATTGTTATTTAGATATTCCTTACCATTATCACAAACTAAAAATGAGATTTGAAGTGAAAACTTAGCCGTTACAAATGCTTCATATTTTTTAAAACACTCAAAAACATCAGATTTGTGTTCCATTAGATAGACAATTGTAAAATGAGTAAACTCATCCAAAAAGGTAACAAAATATTTTTTATTATCGTAACTTGCAGGGGTAATTGGTCCACATACATCACTATGTACAATTTCCAATGGTCTCTTTGCTTGTTTAACAGAACTCTTATTAAAAGGTAATCTAGTTATTTTACTTTCAACACAAATTTCACATTTTTGGCTTTTATCAAATTTTCCTTTACATTTCATACCTTTTACCATATCATTATGTAACATTTTTGACATATTATCATACCCTAAATGGCCTAGTCTCATATGCCACATATCAATATCTGAACAAAAATCTGCCTGCCTTTTTTTATAAATTTCAAATTTAATTTTAAACAGGTTATTTATCTTGTTTCCAATAGCTAATACTACAGAGTTTTTTGTATTTCTGCCCTATCTTTTTCAAATGTAACTTTCAACCCCTGTTTAACCAGACACTGAACAGACAGCAAATTTTGACGTAGATCCTTAACAAATAAGACATTTTTAATTTCTGCTGTTTTATGAA